TGAAGCCAAATTCTAATTCGACTGTTACAAAATAAACACCAGTTTATTCTATCTGCTTCGACGAACAAACCTTCCTTTGTACTTTCGTCAGTCGTATCATCAAAATCGGCTCTTTATGGGGAAATGCCGACGAGCCGAATTGCACGCAAGGCGCGAAAGCGAACAGGCGTTGATGCACCGCTGGGAAAACAGATCTAGACAACATCAGAGTGCTTCGTATGCGACGTCCAACTCGACACCACCGACTCCAACTTCAATCGCGGCGACTGCAGTTTCAGTTCTCGATGGGCAGTTTTTCGCGTTGTGCCCCTTTTTTCCGCACCTCTGGCAAAGCTTCTCTGGGCATGCACTCGCATAGTGGTCACCATCACAGACGTAGCACTTGACTCTCTTATCGCTAGCTAAATTCGCCTCTTCGTAACCTCGGTTTTGTTTCGGACGTCTCTTTCCTCCCCCCCTTCCCCTCTACTGCTACGAACGCATGATGGTTAGCTCGCCGATCACTCTTCCCCTTCTTTTCCTCCGCTTTCAGTTGCCCAGCCCGTGTGCGAAGCACTCTCAAAATCTCTTCTTCATCGAGTGTTTTCTGGGCGAGCAGCTGTTGCTTTTGAATCTCGAATTCCGGGGAAAGCGCATCGAGGAACCGTGCATACACGAGCATTTTTGGGATGGGTTGGTCGAATGCCAACTCTAGGTTAGTCACTACGGACTTGAACTCCTGGAAAAACACTCGGGGTTCCTGGTTCTTCCCTTGTTGGGCATTATAAAACTTTCCGATCAGCGAGATCTGCTCGCCGCCGGTCAAGGGGGTGAATGTTTCTTCTAACGCACGCCACGCTGCCGAGGGCCCCTTTCGATCGTACACCAGCATTTTTGTGGAGTTGTTGGATATCGCTCCGGTCAGCATCCCCCACAAATCCCGGTACATGGCTATCTCCCCTACTTCCACTCCTTGCTCTATCATGCCATCATCGTCTACGCCTAGGACCTCAATGTCTCTGCTGTCGCTCAAGGCGCGACCCATCCCACAAGTCTGAACCTGCGTAATGAAATCGTTTCGGAACATCAGCCAGTTTTTCTCGTCTCCGTTAAAGTCCAACTGTTTCAGGCGTGGGATACATACGGGCATGCGAGCTGAAAGCATACCGTGAAGCTTGCTCCTCTCTGCTGATTCCCTCTCGCGAGATAGCACCGTGTGGTGTAGGCTCTCGTGTTTCCGGGCCTCGCAGTCCTCTCGCTCCCTCGAGCCCTCGTCCAGTATTCGGCGCTTGGTCTAGCTTACCCGCGCCAGGGAAGGCGTGCGTCCTCCCCTGTGACTCCCCCCCGCCGCCCGCTGCGGTCGCACTTCCGGCGGGCGGTGTCCCGGGCACTAACCGGGACAATGTGTTCATGATGCCTTCCAGTTTCTCCGTCACCATCTTCTCCATTCCGGTGCTGGCGTCGCCCACGGCGTCGTCGATGGCCGTCCTAAGCTCCTCATGAGTCGGGCCAGCCTCGCCCCCGCCAGAGTTCCCAGAGTCGTTCGAAGACATGTATGTGTGTCTGCCGCACTAGACTATGACGTTAACGCCACAAGACTCTAGAGTGTTGATTGGCCCCAAGCCGAGTGCTGCTGGATGAGCACGGCTGTCCCGTTTGACAATGTGAAGAGATGGTAAAGTCGTTTTATTGGTCGTCCTCGTAGACACAAGCAACGGAAGAGAGTGGGCACCCAGGTGCATCACAAACACCGAGGCACGCGAGCAACAGTCGCAAGACGCATTCGGAACTCGGAATACATGACAGCAAGGAATGCGCGACAACTTGCCAAAGATCCTACTACCGGAGATACCCCGAAGATCCAAATGACCGATGGACGGTCACGCACTTGCGCACCTGCATAGCTCAAAACCACACATGAGTACTACCGCAGTAGCCTTCGTAAGGATGGCATTATCCACCTCACGAACACCTCTGTGTTGTTATTTTTCTTCTTTTTTCTTTTCCAGATGATCACCGTCTCCCTTTTCTTCTGCGACATATAACGAGTGAGCCAAGGAAAAAACCTACCTCTTCGGCCCGTGATGTGGACCTTCAGCCTAAAACTATCTCGCATAACGTGTAGAGGCGAGCGGAGGCTGCTAGGCAATCTGTCGTTTCTATTAACTGGCGGTCGATTCATTCTATGCATACTGTAGTACAATTGTGTCGGGGAAGTTAGCCCATGACCACGGGAGGAGTCGACGGCGTCAAGTGTTAGGCTAGTACGGCCAGATGAAGGTACTGGTAGAGAGATCGGGACGTTCTTTTGTGAAGACAACAACAACCATATCCAACGATGCGATTGATTGCTGCCACCTCTGACACGCTGCGACGCTATATATACTGAGGAAAAGCTCCAACGGAACCGCCGCGGTACCTTCCACCGCCTGGCGCCTCGTCCTCTTCCGGCGCCGTCGGCCCTATTCGAAGATACGGGCATGTTCCGCGTTGTGTCCTCCAATCAGGTTTCTTCGCACGTCAACACGTTTCACAGGCCGTCGTCCAAGTTTTTATTTTTCCATTGCGAAAGTCGCGGCTTAGCTCTCCATCGATCGACCTTCCCAGATCAATTGGGGCCAGAGGCCAGAGGCTTCTAGAGGCCCGCGACGTAGGAGTAAAGTCTGGGGTATGCCTTGGGTTGGTCTTCGGACGATGTGATGTGGGGGGGCACCTTGTAGTGGGCATGGTAAGGTTGGGTTGGCCTGATTTCAATCTGGGTTTGCGTTGTTTGGCCCTTGGGGTTGGGGTGGGTTAGCGTTTGGTCGGCTCCAACTTAGTCGCTCACGCGGTTTCGGGCCACCTTCATCGGTGGTGGTGTCGTCGACGCGTCGTGCGTTGATGACGCCGTCGGACCGCTTTATGTAGACTGCGTTGATTGTTCAGAGCGCCACCGTTGTTTCAGACGTGCCCAAACAGTACCAGCACGGACGAAAGGGTATGGCGGCGCGGGCACGGGGACAGCATGTCGTTCAATGAATTCCTGGGCCAAAAAACAACAATACAATACCTTGGTCAATGCTCACGCCTGCCCCCTCTGCAAACAAACGCTAACAGCCTACCGTCCAAACACTAGCGCCGTTATACATACATACGTTGCCGCAGTGTTTAGGTCCACCGCCTCCGCCGACGTCATTAAAGCCAAATCCGCCAAACCGTCTACCACCGCCGGAAAAACGCCATCGTATGACATTCGTACGTACCACACTCGCCTGTTTTCCCGTTGAGTTCCTGTATGGATGGAACACACCTTGACCAACACGCAATGCCTACGAAAACTATTCACCTAACCCCAGTGCCGGCACACCAACCTAGAACTGAGCCACCCAACGCCAACCTAGCACCTATTGGGTGGGTTTGGGGTTAGGGTCAGCGTTAGGGATTCTAGCCGGTTTCATGTAGTTGCTGGTTGGAGGGAAACTGCGTCTGCCTGTAGTAGAGCGAGAGGTGGAAGAAACAAGAAAAACATACGAGTTCGTGACGCTCGTTTCTCACACACTATTTCCGTCGGTAATATGCATGGCTTACATGCGTGCCTGTAGGCGAATAAAATTTATTGGCGTCGCGCATTGTTCCAACACCGCTAATCCGCGAATATCCAACCTTGCCCACCATCTTCATTCTACCCCTCCCAGACTATGTAGATAGTGGCCCGAAAGTCTTTATCCACCTCACTTTCTTGTTGAGCCATTTACTTACACCGTGGGAATAACACGCTATGGTGCTTGTGGAATAGGAGGGGCACAGGTAGGCCACACCAACCTTTGCTCATTTTATTGTTTGAGTATTGTTTTCATCACGTTTAGATCAGCGCTCACATACACTGTATTTCTATCGTACAGCAGCGCATAGGAGCTCCAGTTCGTGGTCGCACGGAAGGGTTCCCCCACGCGGTGTCAGAAAAATCCGATTCGTATGACTGCGCTGCCTGCGCCAAGATTCAGACCCATGTCCCAACGATGCGGATACATCTCGGTTCTTCTCGGTAAGCTGAAGCCAAATGCCTTACTCATACCTGCTGTGGTGCGTTCATTCATACTGTTTCTTGTGATACAGCAGCACCGATGACATCACACACCTCCAAACAACATGAACACACAATACAACGAAACATCCATACCTGCCCAATCTCCTACACTACTGACAGTTTCGCCAAACCGCCCATGGGACACCCATGGGCATGCACATGGGCGGCCCATGAAATGCCCACCGTAGGCATATCAACCTACAACTTCGCCACCAGCACATCAACATAAAACTATGCCACCTGCACATCGACCTAGAACTTAGCCACCAGCGCCAACCTAGCACGCATCGTGTGGGCTTGGGCTTGGGGTTACTGTTGGCGTTAGGGTCATTTTCCGCTATAGCGCCCGTTCCAAAGCAGATGATCTATTGTTGAGGAGTACACTGGTTCGGTTGAAGGTCTGTCACTGGCCGCCCATGGGCCTAACGGGGTGCCCATGGGAGGCCCACGGGTCACCCATGGGTCATTTGTGAAAACTGTACAAAGTGTCGGAGACCCAACCACTGGGACACAATCATTTCATAATAAACCTAGAAGACACTCCTCCACAGAACAACCGAATATTTTGCCTCACTTGGCGTACACGAGGCAACATACATGTACTCTCCAAACCCCAAAACAATTAATTGAATCAAACACCCCCATAGATTTTTATCGTGTTCCCGATTTGGGGTGGAGAACAATACCTAGCAAACTACGACGTACCTAATTGCGATTATTTTCACCAAAACAATTTACTCAATAAACCAATCGAAGGTTCTACTACATCTTGTGCACCTTCAAGAGATCCACAACGGGCGCCGAAGACTCCCCACCCTGCTTTACGCAAAAGTGCGGCACAATGTCACTGCACGACCTACCACGCCTCCTCATAAGAACGAATCACGAATTCATTTCAACTCCGACACCGCCTCAATAGAGCGCCTTACTCTTTTCTTCAGGCGGAGATGGACGCTCATCGCGCCATCCGGTGTCCTAGCCGCCTTTGAAGAATTTTAAGCATGATTCTAGCGCTTGGAACGAAGATGCCCTTGTCCACCCCGAAGATTTTCCGATGAGCCTTGAGCGACTTACGCTTCACGACGATCCGTCGTCATGTCACATGGCATACGAAACGAGAGCGGGACCTTGTTATTACGAATTCGAACCTCTTGCTGGGGGCTGACCGAATGGGGTATAAACTCGCTGTGCCTGAACTTGAGATGTGCTGCTCGAGAAACTCAACATGTGCTTGCCCAGCTCAACCAGCTGTCATGAGTGCAGGATAAGCTCCATTTTGAACAAGAAACATAATTTGAATGAGGAGCCGATTTACCGACAACGCAGAGAGACTCTGAGAAGGTAACCGTGCGTGCAATACACTATTCAAGGCCCAGGTGGGCACCGAATATTACGATCTCCCGACGATCATCCGTACGCGGGCCATGAGTGGCACGACACGCCAGGGTATATGTATACGCCATGTACCACTCTCTCACCCAACTACCGCATTATGTCCAGAACATAAAGTGAAATACCTGCATTTGCTCCAGCTCCGCTCGGGGAACCGCCCGCAGGGTCCTCACCATTTGCGGCCCCACTTGATCCGGTGCAAACGCGAAAGAGAACGATGACCAATCGATTAGCTCCTTGAATGGGAGAACCAGGTCCCAGCCTACGAACACGGGAATTGACCCGGCGCTCATTACCTCTCCGAGACGGAACGTGCCGGGAGATCGGCCAGCTGGAACCAACCCGAAGGTGGAGTTCATCAGGCTCTCGTAGCTATGGTCGCCGTACCGGTCGCTCAGCGCTCGGCAGTACTCGACGTTTTCCGGGAGTAGGTGCTCGTTGTGGAGTTCGAAGCAGTGCAATGACATTATCACTCCGTTGGCCTCGTCCTGGAGTGGCACAAGACTCATCCTTTCCCCCGAACCGTGCCTGCTAAGGTATAATGAACCCTATTCGCGCAATCAAGCAGTACGGTAATGGTACGAAGAACAGGCACGGCAGCTCGCTGAGAAAACGTACGTCGTTATTTCGGGATCATATCCGAATTATTCTAAACGCTCCTACAACCAGCATCGCTAGGCACGTGTCAGGTGGGGGACTTCGCGTTGTCCGCTACTATCTTATGCTACCGAACGCGAAAAGGCGTTTGTATCTTTCGAAACAGTTTGCTGTGTGTGCAAGGTAATTTGGAGTAGCAGTATGCATACAAGGGTCCTGTGTGCTGGTCAGTACATTGTTGGTTGAGTTGTGCGGGATTCTGGTGTAATGATCAGAGGTGTCACCATGTATGCGAACGACCGATCAACACGAGTTTTCCGTTCAAGCAAGACAAGCAATGTTTTAGGCGGCCAATGTGTCCCTTACGATTCCGACGTCACTGTTTGACATGTCTAGTGAAAGACGCGTGACAGAGCGAGCCATCTACACGCAGGCTACGTATGTCACAATGGCCACCCTCTGAGTGTTTGAGATGGCGAGATGACTAGATCAGCCTTCGGTCCGCGAACAACAGCTTCAGTAGCCGTGGCAACATGTAGCAACAGAGGACGTCAAAGTCTCACAATACCTTTGTTGTAAGGAAGAAGTTCCGATCCCAAGCGGCAACGTCGGCCAGATTGTTGAACGCCTTCTTGGAATGAAGAGGCACGGAAATGTCGAAACCACTCCTGTAGAAACACGTCTGCATGTTGGAAGCCGCTTCCATGGCGTAACTACCGGCCACGATGGGTCGTGAACCCCTGGCCAAGGTTTGTCAACACGAGTGAGCGGTTCGCGCGAATGAACAACACGCAGAGCAGGTGCAAAAGCCGAAGTCGGATTCACAGCACGACGTGTCCACAGTTTTTACCTTTCGAATGTGTCGAACGTGAGACTGCAGATGTTCCGTGGTTTCAATCTGAGGATTGTCGTGGAGGGAGAATATGTCGCATATCGGCTACATGCCCAAAGAGAAGAGTGAAGTGACACGGCAACGATTTTCAGCGAAGGTTCATATAATTCCATGCATGGCCGCTTGCTCTGTTCCGTGAAGTGGGTGACTCCATGTGAGGGTAACGTTTCGACGAATACATTCCCGAGACATCATCATTCCCATTCATCTCTGTGACCCCTGTGATCATGGCTTGGTCTGGAGACCGCAACAGCGTTTCAAGTCGCTCCGCATGTCTGTACCCTGGCTGGGTGCCGACGTTGGGAGGGTTTCACCTTCACGAACGTTGCGATGTTGAATGTTCTAATGTAAGTTTAGATTGGATGAGGCCCCTTGCGCCATATTGTCGTCCCGCTCATCCTTCGTTGCATCCATTGGCTGTACATATTGTTACCGCTCGTCCGGCGCACGAGATGATCTCACCCAAGCTTTTGTTATTGAGGATATGGTACCGGCTACAATGGACGCGGCACATGCGGCAAACTCTTGTTGGAAAGCTTCCGATAGGGCACAAAAAGCCGGCGTAGCACCGCCCACGGAAACCTCTTGCCACCTTGCAAGCAACAAGGAATGGTGGCCACGAGTTTCGTTTTCAACGCTGCTCTTTACAAAAGTTATCGCAGGAAAAAGAGGATGTTGGGGTCTAAAAATAGCTTCCGACGCCAGCCATTATGTGTGCCTTTGGCCTGCCTTGGCCTACAGCAGTGTGTAGGCCTCGTTTTCTCTGTTGTGGGGATGCGTCTGTGCGGGAAGCTCCAAAGATCGGTAGGTTGAGGGTGATGCAGACGGACTGCGGATTGACTTGCGTCGTCACTCGCTTGTGCTGCCGACAGCAGGCAACGAGCCGCAAGAGTCCCACCCAAATCCTCCCTAATGTATGCCTTTGGCTGCCCTTGGCCTACAGCAGTCCGTATGCTGCTGTGCTGGTTGTATCGAATGTTGTCTACGTGATGTGTATGGTGCTGCTGTGCGAGAGGATTTCATTCTGCTTAGAGCGTCGTGCCCATCGCCCAATCATCTGTCTCTGTCTTACAAAATTACAAACTCGACCTTCCGTGTCTTACAAAAAAATTGCCCTATTTATGGGTGCTCTGCCAAAAACCAAACCAAGACAACCTAACCAACACACGCCTCCGGGGCGGCACAACAAGAACCCAAATACAACCGTAGATCTGGAGATGTTCCGAATTCTTCCGTGCACAATAAACTATTCGGTCTTCGACAACAAACTTTCATTTCTTTTCCCACCGCTGTTTTTTTTTTTTCGGTACCCATAATGGTGGTCGAGTAGATTATGTTGTACGGGGTCGAGAACCCTCACTCCGCGCAAGGGGGATGATCGCACCACGTTGTGTTCAAATTGTCAAGCATCCTCGAGGCAGTTACACAGTGAAAGCACCAGAAAATAAATTAAGTCATACGCGTCATCCGTGCGCAAGGAAGTAAGCACCAGATGACGAACACCCTTCGCAGGATGCAGCGCACCCGACCCTTCATGCGACTCGCCGAATTCTTCACGGCGCTTTGCGCTTGGTGATGTGAGAGCCTGGTCCGGTGAGAACCCGGCGTGCTCCGTCCCGGCTTTGTAGGGATGCGAGGTCAATGGTCTAACGACTACGGCACGCACGACTATGTGTACACCCCCCCCCCCCCCCCCCAAGGGGCCATCCCTCCCTAATTTAACCCCCCCCCGTCCGTGGTACCACCCCCCCTCAACGGAAGCCTTTGGGCTTAAAGATGGGTCAATCGGTAGCCCTACAGCACAGCAACAAAGTAGAGCATGCCCTGCGTCGACTAAAGTCTTGTATGACGACATGCCACTTGTACCCCACCAATGAGAATGAACTGTTCGGTTCCCACTGTGCGTGTAAAGCCGTGGGCTTGGTGTGCTGGTTGCCTCACCTGCTGCCCACTGCTGTGTGCTGTGCGTGCACGTTTTACACGCTTCTACCGGTATTTGCCAGCCGATTGGAGCCTTGTAGGGCAACATGCAGACAGCCGGGGGGGGGGGGGTTGGACACCGGTAATTGATCTCCCCGCACAGTAATCTCCCTTCGGGGGGCAGGTTGGGGCGACAGATATATTTTGCCCATCAGCTATGTCTGCACCAAACCTGAATCGTTTCTGCTGTACGATGGATTTCGTGATAACCCAACAACACAGCAACACAGTCGTGCACGTGCTGCCTCCATTGGTACCTTGTGGGTCGAGATACAGCCGGGGGGGTGTTTAGACACTTCTCCCCCCCGGGGGGCAGGTTGGGGCAACAGATAGATATGCTTTGGCCATCAGCCATGTCTGCACCAAACCTGGACCTTTCCGGCTGTACGATGGATTTCCGCAACACAGCAACACAGTCGTGCATGTCTTGCCTCCATTGATGCCTTGTGGGCAGAGATACAGCCGGGGGGGTGTTTAGACACTAATCCACCCCCGGGGGGGGGGTATCGTAGAATCCCCCCCCGGGCGGGGCTTTAGACACGCCGTTTTTTCTTTACAAGACTGGCCCGGATAGGGGTGCGCTTTTTGTCTTGCAAAAGAAAGCCGTTGAAAGGGATCGTGTGCATGATTTGTATGCGGGAAAAAAAAGAAAATTGACCATGAGGGGGGTGGGGGACGACTCCATGCATGTCTGTCCGCGTCTGTCCAAGCTGCCTAACTAATAAATATGCCAGCAAACTGGAGCCCATTTCACCATCTATCTAGACACCAAATTGCAATCTAAGACTTGCGCACAACATGATATATTTTGCCCTAATATCTTGCCCCAGCTGGCCCAACTGCTACCTTTTCATTCCGTGGTCGGTGCGTCGAGATACTGTAGCACAGCATCTGTGCAGAATATACATGTCGCATTCAGGCGTCCCCGACTTGGAGGAAGAGGCTTGTGTGACCAGACGTACGTGGCTCACGCAGCAAGATACAATCATCCGGAGCCAGACATATGAGCCAGACATACTTGAACAAGGGGGCAAGAAGACACACACACACGCACCACACAGGAGAGGGCGAGACGGCGGCAGCAGGGTGTGCCCTATTGCTACTTCTGCTGTTACCTATCGGCGGAGGAAGCGAGAGGAGAGATACACGTTTGGTTTGATTGTTGTCGGCCAAAGTCTAGACTGCTGTGTTGGGGCGCGTAGTATAGGCACGGCGCACGCAAAGATACCACGCACACGAGGCCAGGAGACGTGGACAAAGGGGGGGGGAGACTCACACCACAGCGAGGGCGAGACGGCGGAAGCAGGGTGTGACCTATACTACTATACTGTGGAAAAATAACAATATTATATGTACATATAATATTTGGTCACTTTTCATGCTTCGGCGTTACTTTCTCTCGCGGCAGCGGGTCTTTTATCGCGGTTCCTTCTCAGGGGCACGCAGGAGGCTCGTCGGTACATTAACGCCCGTGCCCGGAGCTCGGTAGGCCTCCGTGGCGCGTGTGGTTGACGGCCAAAGTTGCGAAAACTGGCTCAAAACCCCGGGGACGCGTTCCGCGCTGAAAAAGCCTGGCGAACCAATTCTGAAACCTATCGAACCCATCAAATACGACGGTTTGAAATATTTGCCTCTTGCCTCTCCACGTTCATTTATTTCGTTCTTTCATTCATTCATTCGATTATTCATGGCTGGCTGTGACTCTTCGTGTCATCGCGTTGTCCAACAGCAGTACCTACGTTTGTTTACTGCACTTCGCAGCGGGCCAAGTGTAGACAAGTCTGAGAGCATGCATCCCGCCGCAGTGTTGAACATGTCCCATTTGTGGTGTTGTTTCGGCTTCAAATTTGGGTCTCATCGGAAATCTGCCATCGTCAATCAAAGACGTCATGGAATTCTGAGTTTTCGCTGCCAAAATATTGTCCGCTCGAGCTGGCTTCAATGTAGAATAAAGCAACGTGCGCGATGTTTTGTGCGGAAATACAAGCAAGCGTTGTAAGACACACAGACAGTCCCTCTTCGGGCAATGCGCATGTGGTCTTGCGTCGCCTGAGGGAGGGTAGACACCCACGTCCCGAAGGGAGACCTTGTAATATATATATATTTTTGGGAAATAGACACAAGTGGGTATACCCACCCCTTTCTCGGACAAAAGTGGGTACTCGAAAATCCAGCTCGCGCGCACTCCATAGGCGACCCCCAAACGACTAAAAACCCCATTCTGACACCTGGGCGACACAGTACAACCAGGGACCATACACAGCACGGGCATCGATTTTCCCCCACTTTTAGGCACACCTTTGGCCCTAATACCGCCGACGCGCGCAAGGCCTCACCAGAGTGCCCACTTATGTCCGACATCGCGGTGGGTATACCCACCGGCGTCAACTAATTTTTTCATGTTCCCACTTGTGTCCCACTTTTGTCCAAAATGTACCCACTTTAGTCCACTTACGGACGGCGAAAATCGGGCGGAAATCGACCTCCACGTCACCGCACAGCAAAACATCGAATAGCCTCGGAAGTGGAAGGTTGTGTTGTACAACCTTGTGTTTTGGCAGAACGGTTAGAAATATAAAAGGGGGCACCGTAGGTAAGAGATAATTGATAGATAGGTAGGCATGTGTACCGGAAAGAAAAGAAAAGAAAGAGATGCACCTTGCCCACAACAGAAGAAACATCTGAACGAAAGAGCAAGACAACAAACAAACAAGAGGAGGAGGAGTAGAAGAGAGACAGAGGAGGAAGAAGAAGGAAGCGAGCGTACGGAAGGGAGGAGACAGACAGAGAAAGAGAGCAAGAGCATCGTCGGTTCATTTGTCGGCCGACCCGGCGCTTGAGCGCGGGGGCCGGGATCCTGCTGCCGAG